TTTGGCCTGCGCTCTGGAAGTGATCTGTTAAATTTAATAAACTTTCATTACTAAAACTAAAACTGAAACTGAAACTAAACTACACTGTAAAAAATGACCATGAATTTAACGGTAAAAAGACTGTAAAAATGCTACAGTAAAAACCTGTTAAATGGTTAACGGTAAATTCCCCTATTATATACAGTGAAAAACTGTATTGGACATTACATGTAATTTTACAGTAGTATACCGTTTTTGAAAGTGAAAAAGATCTTTAATTTACAGGGAATAACCGTAATTTGACATTCCCAGAATTCCCTGCGTTACATTTCAAATTTGATGTTTTTTTGTTGTTGAAATAACTACGTTTCGTCTTAGTTTTTTCTTATCAGTTTTGTATATTAGGGTTGTGTGTTACACCTAATGTTGTTAAATGAATGTTTATTGCATTATTTCAGTTTCATGTGTGTTACCATGATGGTGTTTAGTGTTTGTGTGAATGACCTTCTATATATGTTATTATTTAAAAGCTGCATGTGATGGGTTTTGGTTCATCATGTGACTTTCTCATCACCTCCTGCATTTGGTGGTTATCAGTGTATTACGAAGGTACAAAACAGATTTCAGTACTTTAATAGGTTGGTATATTAACATTATATCTGTTAATGAAATTACAGTATTTAACTGTAAATTTAAGTTAAAACCGTAAAACCTAAAATGTTGTTACTGTATTTTTTACGGTAAAATTCTGGAAACCACAACTGCCGTTTTTTTAACGTAAATTTTACAGAATTTTTTTTACAGTGTATTTAAAACTAAATAGAAATGTGTTCACGAAATAAAAACTAAACTAAAACTATCAAAATTATTAATGAAACTATTAAACTCCTTAACTGTCACCGTCCCACCTGTGGGACACTTGGCACTCTTTTTGTTGTTGTCCTTTTTCTCTATCAAATGTTTTAGTAATCATCATAAATGATATATCATTTGAAAGCTTAGAAGCCCAAGATTCATCCTGTGAAAACCATTTTGAAATCGGACATTGTGTTACCATGGAAATGGTACTTTAAAATATGTTGGCGGTCTCCTCCCCCTTAGTGGGCGGTGTCAAGTGTCATATTACAAAATGCATTAGGGTCTTTTAGAATCAAACATTTTTATAATCTTGACAAAAAACATACCACTGGAAAGTTCTGAGTCTCAGGATTCCAAATTTGGTGGTTATTTTGAGATAGATTTGAAGTAATATTGACAGAGAAATCTAGACATTTGTTACAGAAAAATGCATTAAAATAATTCAATGGAGTTTGGATGGCACCCGGTGGCTGTTTGTGGTATAACGCCCTAAATAAATCTCACAGGAACCTAATTTTTTTTTTTTTATAATTTGGAACATAACTTATTTAGACATAAGGCTTTAATTTTATACCAAATTTTAGAGTAAAACATGTTACGTAAAATATTTATTATAAATAAAATAAAATTAATATAGTGCATTTTATTTACAGTAAATTTAAACTTTTATAACATTTTGATATTTTAATGTTTTTTTTAAAAAAAAATAGATTTTCTTCTTTAAAACGAGACCAACCTTAGGTCTGTATTCCAAAGTGTTCATAAATTACAACAATTTAAGTTTGGATAGTGCACTTTCATGCCTATTTTTAAAAATGGGGGGTGACAGTTAAAGGGGTCATATGATGCTTTTTTAAAGATCATTATTTTGTGTATTTGGTGTAACAGAATATGTTGACATGCTTTAGGCAAGGCAAGGCAAGTTTATTTGTATAGCACATTTCATACACAATGGTAATTCAAAGTGCTTTACATAAAAAGAAAAGAAAAAAATAATCACAACAATAAAACAAGGAATTTAAAAACTTTGAAAATGATTAAAATGATTTAAAAATTGATTTAAGAGGTTTAAAATGAATTTAAGAAAACGATTATACATAGAATATAGTGCAATCAGTTCGGACATGGCACAGTGCTCAATAAATGCACAGCTAAACAGACGAGTTTTAATGTTCAAAAAACACATTATTTTTCAAATACTGTACATTATTGTAGGTCCTCTATGCCCCGCCTCTCTCAAACGCTTCGTTTTCTACAAAGTCCCTCCTTCGGACAAGCGCAGTCTGCTCTGATTGGCCAGCTGACCCAGTGCATTGTGATTGGCCGAACACCACAAGCACTCATCGGAAATGTAACTCCCCTTACCATAACCGCGAGCTTCAGCTTTCAAATAAATGTAAAGACAGTAAATAATGTCATCAGTTTTACCATCA